TATCATTGAAATTACTGATTCGGTTGATTGAATCTATAATTTGTCATGAATCTTACTGAATTTATCACTGCATCGACTGATTTACTTGATTGAATCTATGAGTTTTTATGAATCTTATTGACTTTATCAATGCATTGACTAATTCACTTGATTGAATCTATGAATCTTTATGAATCTGACTGACTTTATTACTGGATTGACTGATTCACTTGATTGAATCTATGAATCTTAATGAATCGGAATCTATCAATATTCATGAATCTGTCTTCATCAATGGATTTACTGATTCATTTTACTGAATAAATGAATCTGAATGAATTCGACTGTCTTTGTCACTGGATTGACTGATTCACTTAAGTGAATCTATCAAATTTCTGAAATTTATTTATATATTTTGACAGATCTGGCCGTTTTCAAAACGTTATTATTTCCCAGTTTGGTAATGCCATAAAATATGGTATAATTAGTTGGATATACAGTATAAGGAAAGTTGCATATAGCAATCACAGTACAGTAGGAAATGTTCTACCTCTTATTTTGAACATTGAACACATCTCTCTGTCTACACTAGTGCAATAAATTCAGCTTTAAGCAGAAGCGCAGTGAGGCTTTTTTACATTTATTCTTCCAGTCCTCCAGTCCACATGAAGACTCTTATTCTGTCACTGAGACGCATGACAAAGCACTGCATTAGGATTACGTAAATAAAGATGAATAATATTAGCCTTCTGAACCAGCTCAGCCTCTGAGTAAAAGATCATGCGACTGTAAAATACTTCACTGACAGAGAAAAACAGATGCCAACTTTATCCCCAAAGCACTAAAGCAGCTTTATCTGTTTCCTGGAATAGACAAGTGTGTAAATTCTGAATTCTTTTGCTGTGCGGAGGCTGATTTTATATCAAAGTGGAGTACCAACGCCTCAGATGCTAACCTTGGATGAGGGTGAAATAACGCCATGGTTCACACTGACTCATGATCTCTTCTGTTTGAGCAGAAATATAACTGTAGAGTACACTGTCAAAAAATGAATCTGTATTTGGGTCAAAGACAAAATAGGGGTTTTAAATATCAAACCAACAATGTAACACAGCTTTGACATTTGTTAATTAATTAAAAAAAAAATCGGAGGAAATAGTCATGACTAAAACTCCCACTAAAATACCATTCAGTAATATAACAATGAGTTGCTCTGTTAAGAAAACTAGTCAGGCTTATTTAGAGCACGATTCATTTAAAGACGTATTCATCTGAAGATCACAGGGCAGCTCTTGCTGTTAAAAAAGCCACTCTATACATCTTTATACTAGTAATGAGTCGTTCATGAATGATTCACTCATTTTGAACGATTCTTCAATATGACTCGGGAACTACGAGTCCTCTCAGGGAGTGATTCGTTCATCCTTTTGTGCAGGTGGTATATTTCAAGTCTTTTAAGTCGTTCGTCGTGGAAAGGCAGAAGCCAATCATATGCGTTTAGAGACGGAAAAAGAATTAATCCGTTCATCTCTCAAGTCCTCTATCGGGTCTGAGTCATTCATTCATTACGGGACAATCATATGCGTTTAGAGTCGAAAAAGAATTGAATTGCAAGGTAAACTAATCATCATGGCTCCTATCGACTCAGACTGTGTACATTGGTTAAGATTATATGTAAGTGTAACGTGAACGAATCACTGACATTTGAAGACATGACGAGGTGAGCTGAGCAAAGAGACAACAATACCTTCATAGATAAAAGAGCAGGTCAACATTGAATTATTATTTTCTTATAGTATTTCTATTTATGACATATTTGTCGTGTGATTAATTTTTCGGGCTAGTTGTAGATGTGTTTGGAAGCAATTCGTAACATTTTAATAATATTTTGGCAAATTGAACCAAGTGAACAAAATGACTCGAAAAAAGATTCGTTCATCTCGATGAACGAGACTCAAAGATCCGAGTCAGTAAAATGATCCGAACTTCCCATCACTACTTTATAGCACTATGATTTATCCATTTCAATAACCTTTTTTTAATAATTTAAACCGTAAGATTCAGCATATGATCACTCATTCTTTGATGAAGAAGGTCAGAATAAGTCAGGTTCATTTTAAATAAAGGTTTCTGCTACGCTGAGTGACATTATCTCACCCGTATTTAGACAAATATACAATTATTATTTTTTTTAAAATTGTATTTGACACTCTGGCATGACTTTGAATGTGATTTTGTTAGCAGGGTACACATATTCAGGGTTTCTGCAGCTATCATAATGTCAAGTTTAAGACTTTTTGGGACCATTAAGTATTAAATTTAAGACCTATATCACAGTATCAAAAACAGGCATATACATAAAGAGAAAACGCTAAATCAAAAAATTAGTGTTAAGTGTATTCAAATTAAACAGTACTAACTATAGGTTAGATGCATCACTGAACTACAGAAACAAACAAAGTCTGATAGACTTTTCCCAGTCCTCATTGGTCATTTGAATGCCTAAAGCTGCGGTCACATTAGAGTTTGAACATGCGATATTCTGTCGTGCGGCGCTGCGAAAAGGGGCGGGATTAAACAAGCTTATTAGACATTTTGTAAAGCAAGCGATTGCTCCGTGTTTTAAATTACTGTCCAGAGAGGTCAATCCTCGATTGGTCTCACGTAAACAAGAGATGCGATTTCGCAGGTCAGAGTTCACCAAGCTTGAACTTTGCACCGCAGCAACCTGCGAAATTTGACGCATGACCCTGCGTTTCCGGTCTGACGCAGTCGCTTGCGAATGAATGGAAGTCTATGGAAGGAAAAGCCCAGTGTGAACACAGCTTAAATCAGGCATGTCCAAACTCGGTCCTGGAGGGCCGGTGTCCTGCAGATTTTAGCTCCAACTTGCCTCAACACACCTGCAAGGATGCTTCTAGAAAGCCTATAAAAGCTTGATTAGCTAGCCCACGTGTATCTGATTGGGGTTGGAACTAAACTTAGTTTTTTAGTTTGAATACACTAGTTGCTATTCAGTCTAGTGCGTTCACGATCACTGATTTATTTTTGCTTTTTCTCAACCCACCGAGTCATTTTTTTTTGTATGAAAACTCTACAAAAGTTTTTCAATTTTCCCATGGAGTCTGGTGACACCGGTCTCTATTTATTGAAAGGTCAAGTGGAAAGTGCTTTTCATTATGGCAGCTTATTTCAAGGGCAGAGAAACTGCCGTGCTAAATATATAACAAGAATATTGAGTTACATTCACCGAAGAATGAAAGTGGCATGTTGGAGGAGAAAAGGGGCAGATAGTCGAACAATAACCGTCACATTAGCAGTCTGCCGACAACTGCCTCAAGGTGCCTTTTCCAATGACGGCCTTGTCAAGATGAATGAACAATAACCTGATGAAACACTTGTGTGAAAACAATTCAAAGACAGAACAATACACTCGTGTGATTACCACTGCGCTGCATCACACACTCAGCATTAGTATACATACACTCTGCTGGACATTATCACTACACTAGCATTTCCAATAACTAAATTGATCAAGGCAGTTATTTTTGCATTTTAGTGGGTCAGTTGTAAATGTTAGTTTACATTTCCACACATTACTTTTAGCATTAATGGTAATAATGCAGTGAAATTAATTACCACTTGGATGATGCGACAGCAGCCACAGGACAACAGTGCCAGTGCTTCACCAAACACCAGCTATTGTTAAAGAGCCAATTTGGTGGATAGGGATGATTGGGAGGTCATGATGGGTAAAGCCCATTGGATGGAATTTGGCCAAGTCACCGGGGTTACACCCCAGAAGTACCATGGGATTTGTTATGACCACAGATATTCAGGACCTTGGTTTGATGTCTCATTCAAAAGACGGCGATCACTGACAGTATAGTGTCCCCTTCACTATACTGGGGCATAAGAACTCATACAGACCACAGGTTAAGCGCCCCCTGCTGGCCTTACTAACACTACTTCCAAAAGCATTCCAGTGACATTTCAGGACACCAATATGATGTTAAAATAAAAAAAAGAAATAAATAAAAATGTGTATAATGATGTTTATTTCATAGTTATAACAAGGAGATGGTGAATTACGAGGACGTTGCTGATGTTGCCATTTTTCTAAATATTATTTGATCAAAATTACAGTACAAATTGTAAAATTGTGATATGTTATTGCATTTTTAAATAACCATTCTCTTACTGAATGTACTATTATGTAAAACTTTAAGTTAAAGCAGAGAATTCAGCATCGTTACTACAGTCTTCAGTGTCACATGATCTTGCAGAAATTATTGTAATATCACAATTTGCTGATTAAAATTATTATTATTATTATTATTATTGTTATTAATGTTGACATGTGTAAGGTTGCTTCATGTTTTTTTATGAAAAACAATTGCAACTATTTTCTAAGACATTTTTTAATGAAAAACAAGTGGCAAATTCAATATATATTAATATATATATATATGTGTGTGTATGTGTGTGTGTGTGTGTGTGTGTGTGTGTATATATATATATATATATATATGTATGTATGTATGTGTGTGTGTGTGTGTGTGTGTGTGTGTGTATGTATATATATATATATATATATATATATGTGTGTGTATGTGTGTGTGTGTGTGTGTGTGTGTATATATATATATATATATATATATGTATGTATGTATGTGTGTGTGTGTGCGTGTGTGTGTGTGTGTGTATGTATATATATATATATATATATATATATATATATATATATATATATATATATATTGCTCAAAATATCAAATAATGTTTTCATAGTATTTTGGTGACTGACGCTTTAAATTCAAATGAGATTGTGCACTTTTCAGAAGAGGGCGGAGCTACAAACGCCTGTGTGACAGCATAGTGGCAGATTCAAAAACAAGACTAACGTCCTATGCTAATAAGAGAGAGATGGTTACTAGTGGGCGGGGCTTTCCCCCTCTGATGACACGTACAAAGTGAGAATGTCAATCAAAGAGTTTCTGCAGACTGATTTTATCAAGTCTGATTAGTAAAAACAATTAATTTTGACCATTAGATGCTGCTTATATTCACACACTGCTGACACACAACTGTGTGTAAACCCCTTATAATAGTGATTATTGCATAATCCTTTAAACCTTGATATGACTGAACTGCAGTCGTTCATTGCACTAGAGGGTGCTGTCTTGCGTCTCTGTGTTGCGGACAGATGGACAGAGCTGTCCAAACTTCATATGAAAGTCATCTCGGGCCCTCAGCAGGGCCTCCTCATCGATATAGACTGCCGCCCTTCTGGCGGTGAGGAAGTACTGCACTTTCCTGAGTTTCCACCCGAACACGTACATGAGAAGTCCACAGACGGCAGCAGTGGAGCGACCCACTCCTGCATTACAGTGGACGTAGACGCTGTGACCGTTTTCCAGCAGCCCAAACAGCAGAAACACTGCCTGGGGCAGCATCTGTATACGCCCTGCAGAGATAGAGAAGTATTCAATGCTTTTTATAATTATTATTGCAAAGCAGCATTACATTGCATCACAATGACATTCAGAAAACTTAAGGTTATTAGTTTCTATCAGAGCCATAATTTGATTTAAAATGATTTATTTATAGGGAAGACGCAGTGGTGCAGTAGGTAGTGCTGTCGCCTCACAGCAAGAAGGTCACTGGTTCGAGCCTCAGCTGGGTCAGTTGCCGTTTCTGTGTGGAGTTTGCATGTTCTCCCCGTGTTGGCGTGGGTTTCCCCCACAGTCCAAACACATTCGCTATAGGGCAATTGATGAACTAAATTAGCCATAGTGTATGAGTGTGAATGAGTGTGTATGGATGTTTCCCAGAGATGGGTTGCGGCTGGAAGGGCATTCGCTGCGAAAAAACATGCTGGATAAGTTGGCGGTTCGTTCCGCAGTGGCGACCCCGGATAATTAAAGGGATTAAGCCGAAAAGAAAATGAATGAATGAATCAATAATTTATTAATAGTGCTCAAATTCATATACACTTGACATATATTGATGTTTACTTGTGCACATTCGCTGATTTCACCCCTACCCATTTGTTTGTAATGGTTTGCTCCGCTTTTATTGAATTGTTTAAAGTTATATTATGAGAAAGAAAGAAAGATATAGCAACACATTTTTTTGACCGGGGTTTATTGTTATACTGCATACGAATTTATTAATCATCCTAAACACCAAACCCTGCAGACAGAAACAATACAGTCTTCATCATAAAACAACAACACAGATTAAATGTGTGATGTTCAATGTATTCAGATTCTCAAAAACATTCATTAAAAGTCCCATAAAATTACAGGGTAACCTATTTGACCCCTTTTTCCAGATTTAAGATACGTCTTTTTGTTTAAGTTTCAGCTCAAAACACGCGTCAGATTGTTTATTATAGCTTATAGCTTTCTAGCTGTTTTTGTGGCCTGTCTCTTTAAAGCTAGTTCTCCCTGCCCACCGTTCCCACATGCCTGTCAGAGTGTGGGTTAGTCTCCGCCTCGGCTGCATCTGTTATACAGCACAGTGACAGACATGAAGGAAGCAGATCTCACAAAATGCTTGTGAGAAATTCTACAGTAAGAACTTCCCCAATGATTATTTGATGTATTTGTTGTGGAGTTAATTCAAGCCTTTCTGCAACGATGAGTCACACAATGTCCTTACAAAGTTCACGCACACACAGACACACTTAGCGGACACACACACAGTGCATGTTAAACCTTTGCACTGTTTTTGCACGGCAAATGTGACAGGATACAGGTTAATATCCACAGCTGTATGGATATCCGTTATGTTAGTGCACAAAATGAACCTGATTTAACGTCAACAAACCGGGATTGAAGCGTCTTCTTTAAAACTCTACTGACATGCGGCTGAAGTAAGTAAAGTGATGATGTTTCTACTAAACAAACTGTATATTCTTTCCCCTCTTCCAACCCTACCACTAAACCAACCTTCACAGCAAACAATCTGCACTTTTACATCTTCAAAATACTTCCTTCTGTCTGATTTACAAGCATGTTTACCCATCAGGACCTCAAGTTTGGTCCCCACAGTGACACACGTCTCCATGATTCTATGCGTATTCAGGTTTAAGTCCCCAGCAGGATATAAAAACAAGTACACACACACTAACCCTCTGTGCTCATGTCCTGCGTGGGCATCCAGATGTAAGAAAGGCCAGAGTCTCTGTACAGATGCATCATGGTCTCGGGGGTCATGGGTTGACTGAGGTCTCGCCGGCAGCCGTGCGAGTTGTTTATCACGTCCCACTCGGTCTGAAAGTTCATCACCGCCGTGACACCCAGCTCTTGTTTTAGCTTCAGGGTTACATGTTCAACCCGTCGAGGACAGCTGCCTAACCAGACACGCGGCAGCACCCTAAAGAGAAAACAGACGCACGAATGAAGACAGAGCTTAAACTATCGTGTGTAAACAACACAGCTCTTCAGAGGAGACAAGAAAGGCTAAGCCCCCAGAAATCAGTTAAAGTAGACATATTGTGTAAATAATCGTTGTCCTCAGAATGTGTTCAAGTTCAAGTTGAGCTTTATTGTCATTTCTCTACGTTTGTTATTTTATTTTGAAGATCTGAGGTGAAAGAGGTCATGAAATCTATTAGATTGGCTGGATAGATGTTGTACGCAGGTCAACGTTCTTACAAAACACACATCCTCATGATGCACCACCTCAATAACACAATCACCCCAGCGCTTCATAGTATTATTATGAGATTCAGTAGCAAGACGCAGAGGCAGATGTGGCAGGTTGACAGGCCAGATCATAAAACATATACTGTGTGAAAACCTTTTAAGAGCTGTGGACTGACAGTGTTACTGCACAGTGATTCCCTCTTTACTGCGTTCTGCCACAGAAACAAACCTCTAACCTTACACATTAAACTGCAGACTGCACATTTATCCTGCATCATTAGTCATGTCGCGTTATTATCAGACACTAAAGGAAAAGGAAGACATTGAAGTGGGTTAAGTGGGAAAGGAAAATACCCGACAGCCAATCAGAATCAACATCAACAGCTCACACATCTAAATCAGCAGAGAAGCTCATCATCACTGCTGCTCGATACAATACACCCTCTTTAAAGGGCCATGAAACCCCCTCGTTTCAGCAGGGTGTTTTCACACCTCTACTTTGGAAAAAGTCAGAAAAGTGGGCGTGTCCAGCTTTGTTTAGGGGGGAGTGTTGGAGGAAGAAAAGAGGCAGGGTGTGGGAGTGTCTATTTGGGCGCGCTGAGTGTCAGAGTCAAAATACACACACACAGGGGACAAAGTGACGGTGTTTGCATGGACATCTGTAGTCGAATTATTTGCCAAATTATTAAATGGTGGACTTTAACTGCAGTTTGGCTCTTTCATTCAGGGAATTCATTCATGTCCCTCACAACAAACGAGATATTTGATTCGAGGAGCTGCTCTAAGCATGTATTTTTCATGCAATGTTTGATACCGCACGGCGAATGAGAGAAAAAAACCGTCCGCATTTCCCGGAAACTTAGATGCACACGGCAGGTAGCGTCAGAAAGCCGCGTGTGTTATTCCGGTCACAAAATGCAGTGAAAATCCTACACGAGGTTATAGTTTGGTTGTAGAGCTAACATGTTTACACTCGGTGCAATAGTTAGTTCGATGCGAACAAACTGAATAAACAAAGAGCGCTGGTCGCTCACTTACCAAATCTGTAGAGACAGGACAATCACCAGCAACTAGAGCCGCGTCTTTATTAAGAGGAGACTACAAGCGAATCCGGATCTCAGCGTTTGCAGATGAGAACAGCTCTCAGGAAAACAATAATCCTCTTTAGACACGTAAGTTATTGTTGTCGAGCGTCGCGTACACTGTTAATCCACACGAGATCCAGCTGAGCTCTCACAGAGAGAAAATGAAAACAAAACTTCACTGCAGCAAACTATAAAAGCAACACTTCACGCTTGTTTTGCCAACACAACGTGGCGTCTCTGTCGTCTAAACACTGTGACAGTAATGAATATTAATGAAGCTGCACAATAGAGCGCGCTGATTGCTTTGAACCAAGCTTTACTCATGCATTAATGCAGCACACTGTAAGACGTAATAAGACACACTCTGGCACAGACGCTCAGTCTGCACGCTGGAATACACGCTATTATGTCATGGCCGTGACGCAGCTTCAAAAATTAGTTTCAAACCGGAAGTACGAATTTGCTTGAAGTAACGCAAAAACAACCAATTGACACTTTTTAGTGAAATATAGGTGTCCTAATAGTGTTTATAGCAGTGTGGGACACATATATCACTGTCAACAGCTCAAATAATGTGCTTTGGTGTTTTCTGACCCTTTAAAGATAGCAGATATCTAGGAAGTTGGTGCTAGTTATACCATCTGAATGAATGGACAACACAGTACAGTATAAACCAATTGCCAAACTGATTTCACCAAGTAGGATATGTTCCTGAATGAACATCTTTGTTGATCCTGAAACAACATTCCAATCACCCAATCAGAATTAAGGGATACGTTTACCGTTTATGTTAAGATTAGGCTTACAGCACTTCTACATGAGTGTTATCGAACTATTATTCCCCTCTGATTTTGGGAATAATTAACAGTTATGATTGGTTTTAGGGGTAACCATTTAACGTGTGAACATTTGCGTTTACTCGCTTCATTCGCGTGTCAAATTCACTTCAGAACAGACGCGGATTCGCGTGATGGGCAGGGCTTCTGTCTGCCCGAAGAGTCTAGCTTCATAGCTAACTGGCTAACATGGATTTTATGAATAAAATAACAGTGTTTATGTGCTTTATGAAGACTGAAAAACAGCATCGATACGTTTAGGGTCGTGTCTGAGTCCACTACATGCTTTCAGAGGTGCATCCAGTTCTGTGAGCTCATAAACTCCTCCAGAGACTTAACCTGGATGACGGAGGCTTTCAGCGGTGCATCTGACTGAGCCAAGCCGAGTTTGATGAACGGTGAAGGGTGGAGGATTTCCCTCAGAACACCGACAACAGGTTCTACGTCACAATCACGCCCCCACAAGAGCAAGCTTCTGATTGGTTAACGCGGCACGAATGTCCACTGAAGTTCAGATTTTTGAACTCGAGAATTGGCGCGAAACGCTCGTTAAGCGCGTCAAACGCGCAAAACGCTCAATTCGCCCCGCGCCATTCGCGCAATTTGCGACATTCGCGCCGCAAGATTATTATTATTCGTGCGTTTGCATTGACTTAACATGTAAATCACTTGCGCTTGACGCGCGTTACGCATCTGTTGTGAACGCAGCACTAGTCTTGAACACCTTGATTAGTTGGATCAGCTGCGTTTGATTAGGGTTGGAGCAAAACTGTGCAGAGCTGCGGCCTCTGGTATAAAATGAGACTATGCAATGCAAGCTGTGCAATATAAAACTTAAAAGTACCACAGCTTTTTAGTAGTGTCAATGTACTAGAAATGCAACAGCGCCTGATTGTTGATGTCTCTGTGCAAATTAATCCATTTTAATTTAAAGGTCCCAAGAAGACAAAATCTCAATTGAAACATGAAGGCAGGAAAGTAATCTGCTCCCATTCATTCATTTTCTGCCACTTTTCAGGGGCCGTGTCGCGGGGGCAGCAGTCTTAGGAGAGAACCCCAGACTTCCCTCTCCCCAGACACTTCCTCCAGCTCCTCCGGGGGGATCCCGAGGTGTTCCCAGGCCAGCAGAGAGACATAGTCCCTCCAGCATGTCCTGGGTCTTCTTCAAGGCCTCCTCCCGGTGAAACATGCCTGGAATACCTCCCTAGGTGGAGGTCCAGGAGGCATTCAAAAACCTGAGCCACCTCAGCTGACTTCCATTGATGTGGAGGAGCAGCAGCTCTACTCCGAGCTCCTCCAGGGTGTCAGAGCTCATCACCCTATTCATAAGAGTGCACCTGCCACCCTTCAAAGGAAACCCATTTCAGCTGCTTGTATCCGAGATTTTGTCCTTTTGGTCATGACCCAAAGCTCATGATCACAGGTGCGAGTAGGAACGTAGATTGACTGGTAAATCAAAGCTTTGCCTTTAATCTCAGCCCCTTCCTTACCAGAAGCTGGTAAAGTAGCCCCTCCCCTTTATTAAAAAAAAAAACAGCCAGTAGTGTTTTGTTTTGATCACAGCCCAGTGTGAGTGGTTGAGCTGAAGTGCATCAAATAAAAAGTGCCTTGAAAGGGGCGGGGCATATCAGTAGTTAGTGATGTCACAAAAATAATCGATCCATTTAGGCGGAAGCGACATATTGCAAACTTTTAATGTTTATAACTTCTAAATGTAAATGTTGTCACTGTTTTGGAGTACACTAGCTTATAGATATCCTTAAGACTAACATACTGATACTGACATCTACAAAAACGTTATTTTGATTTCATGGGGACTTTAAAACTGCAGACTCAGTATCACTCTATTCTCATCGCCATCGCTCTAATGTACCTTCGGAGGAGAGTAGAGGAGGTAATTTTGGTTTTACATTTCCAGTGTATCTGCGCATCAAACGCAGAGGTGTCAGCGGGAGTCTCAGTATGAGGGAGATCCAGACTGCAGTAATGGAAATGCTAATGAGTGTTTAGCGGGGTGAGGAGACAGACTGACAACCTGGGGAATGAAGCCAGAAAGGTCACAGGCTTCAGCCGAGGGGTGTATTTTTACCTCAGAAACCCACACGCCCGTTTGAGGATGAAAAATAAGTGAGACGATTGAAGGAAAGGGAGTTTGTGGAGGTTAATGGTCTGAATCATTTGACTGCAATGAATTCTTCACCCCCTCCAAAACTTTCACCAGATCTGGGGTCTGGTTTATAAACTTTGCATAGAAACTTTCCTAAAAGTGAAGGTATATAAATGTTATTTATTTATTTATTAATGGTTATGGTCCATATGATGATTTAACACTGGGTTTTATTAATTTTGTAATTAAATGTAGACTGACCTGTGTGTGCACGAGATGAGACCGAATCGTATATTTCCATTGTTTTTCTATTTAAACACAGTTGACCTGCATGATCATAGTGTACACTTGCATCCGAGCGTCAGCGTCAACGCTTCCCATTCCCTTTAAATGGGTGACGTCAGGCCTTGCCGAACTGCATTGTGGATCCATCTGCGCCGCTTCAGGGGTGTTGCTCACTGCAGAAGTTGCGACGTACTCAACTTTTTCAAGCACCGGCGGAAGCATCAGCCAATCAGATCGCTGTATGCAAATACAACAGCTCAGACAGAAACCGATTGCTGACTAATTTAATTGGCTGACGCTGCTATGACAATCACGTCGGTCCCAACTTCCGACCTTTCTCTGTCAAGCGTTGACGCTAAAGCCCCGTGTGAATGCACCGTCACTTCAATGGGTTTGCGTGGCTCTCAGTCCCACC